TACCTCACATCTCAGTGAAAGTGAGCTGGCAATGCTGCATGTAATACGGGATAGGAGAGCAGGCATGTGGGGAAAATCCCTCACATGCCCCTGCTTGCTTTGTGGTGAGTGTTTTTTGTCGCCATGTCCTCAGATAAATTCTTGGATGCATTTTCTCCAGCTTGTGGTTGTTCTGCTCCCACCACTGAGGTTTGCTCTTGTAAGGACTGATTTTTTCCTTAATGATGGAGCCGGCTAACTCGTGTTTCTGTACAGAGAGAAACTTATGTTGCGTGAGATATCTCTATTCACTCCAGCTTTTGTGGATGAGTCTCAGTTTCACTGCCTTTAAAGGAGTTTGTGCTCTGGCAGTGTTTGTTTATTTTTGGTGTTTCTATGCTGACATTTTTATTTAAATTACTCCACATGTTGCACTCTCACAGAGTCTGACCTTTTTCCTGCATTGCATTCAGGCTAATTTTAAAGGCTGATATGAATTCTATTTTTCATACTTAAGTATTTGCTTTCATTTACGGATGTGTATCTATGCCTTATCTATCTAAATGGCATTAATTAAATTAATTAATAAGTAAAATGAAAAGGCTCTCTGACACAGACAGACAGGAATGTTGAAAGTTTCACTTAAAGAAGGAAGATACCCAGCAAACAGGTGAGTAAAAATGCATGCAGCAAATGGAGCATAATAGGGACTTGCTGAAAGAGCTGTGCCCTGAGCAGGCTCTGGAGGCATCTCCTGTTGTTCTGGGGCTATCAGCAAGCGCTTGTCTAGACAAATGTCTGGGAGAGGAAGATGGGGCAGGAAGGAGGGAGTCTCTTCAGGTGTCTCTGACTCAACACAGTGTAAACTTCATGTAGTCCACCATAAATGGCAGTCAGAGTATGTTTTAAAGGTTATTACAGTACCCCCATCTAGGAAAATTTGTCTTGATACCAAAATAGCACCCTTGCCTCATCCATAACCGAGTCCTGCAGTGGTGGTGGGAGAGAGGCTGTGTGCACAGTGGGGTGGTGGTCCCCGTGGCTCTTTGGTGCACATGCAGGCACGCATGCTCTTTCTCTGATGCTGAATCTTCTGAAAACGGGAAAAAGCTGCATCCGTTCAAGCAGGAAGAGTTTTGCTGCCACAGGTCTGGTCCAGAAATGGTCTTCAAGAGCCCCGTGTTTGTTTCTAAACTGAATGGGCGTGTACATTGGTAACAAATGCGTGTCAGTGGTGATTACTTATCTGGATGGTGCAGTGCAGTGATTCAGGCTGTAGCAATGCATGAGAACTGGCTTCCTATTAGCAAATCCCAGCGTGTTAGTCAGCCCGCAGGGACAAGGAGCCTGTAATTTGGGCCTGTTTTGTGTGGACTGGCTATTATGTGGCCCTGACCGACGGGAACGTGTGCCAGAGGGCACTGGGATGCTGACCTGCCTGGCAGCAGGTGGGCACTCAGCCTGCCCATGGGTCTGGATTTAATGTCCCACTCAGGATTGTGGGTGATGGAAGCACGAAACAAGCACCAGAGCTTTTGCTGAAAAAGGGAGAAGTGGGAGAGAAGCCAAGGGGACTTGCTAAACTGTCAGAAAAGAAATACTAAAAAAATATGAGTACTTTGGCAGCGGGTAGGAGCTGGGGCTGGAGCAGTCAGCCTGTCTGGCTGTTAAAGTTGACAATGCTGCTGCCATCTCCTGGCATGGCCCCGGTGGGCTGAACGGGCCCTGGCATGCTGTGGCCAAGCTGGGCTGCCCAGGACCTCCCAGAAATGCACCTGGAAGGCCAGGAGCAGGGCCATGCTATGCCGCTGAGAGCAGCAGACCTGTAGCACTCTGGGTCCCCACATGATGCACGGGCATCCTGCCCACAGTCCAAGGATGCTCCCTCACTGGTCCCAGTTAGCTTTGTCGGTGTATGTCTGTTGCTTGGCTGCATCCTGGAGGTAATGAGTGCCCCAGGCACTCCCAGCCCTGAAGAACATTTTCTGAGGAGCTTTATTTGGGATTTTGGTGCCCAGAACCTGCAGCATGCCCAGGATAACAGGCAGTGCCAGCAGTCACAGAGGACCGGCTGAGCGCTGGTGGGTATGGGTGGATGGGTCCTGCAGAGCTGTCCCCGGCCTCCGACCCAGCTCAGCGCCTGAGCCTGCAGCGTGAATTACATGTTAGCATAAAAGGGAAAGCCAGTGTGACACATAGCACACCAGTGCACAGTGTGTTTCCATTTTGCAGGTGAGCCTGGAGTCAGATTACTGACCCTGAATTTTGTCCCGTACCTCCCGGTTGGGTCATTTGTGCTCAGAGCCTCCCTGGCTGAGATGGGAATTTCCTAGCTATTTGTGGGGGGTGGGAGGGCTATTTTGGCTCTGCTAGTTATTTCATGGATGTTGGAGACTGCTGGGAAGACAGGAAGGCACTGCATTACTCTACCATGCACAGCACAAATGCCTGGAAAATATACGCAAGATGCTTTTGCAGAGAGGTTAAATGTTACTGTGATTATCAGCAGTCAAAACGAAGCCATTAATTCCCCAGCAGCCCTCCAAACACATTGCCCTGCGAGGTACACAGGGCTGGCAGGGCTCCTGTGCATCTGTTGCCCTGAGGCTGTTTCGCCGTGTTGCTGCCCAGTGCCTGTCCAGGCTGGACAAACCAGACTGCCCCGAGGGTAGCATGTGGTTAGGCATGTCCCCAGCTCCTCTGTGGGCTGTGCTGGCCCCCAGCCACGGGGATGGAGAACTGGCAGCCTCTGGCCTTCTGATGTGTACACTGCGCAAGTATGTGTTTCCTGTGGCAAGCACGGCATTCCCGTCATTTACTGTCCAGCCTCATTTTGTTTATTTAAACAGTTCCAGGAAGCAATCTTGCTCTGCTATTGGTGAAGCAGACGATGAAGATGAAGCTGCTGCCTCCTCTTCTACATGCACTTCACCCTGGAGTTGTAAAGCATAACTGTGCTGATACTCAGCAGCTATGATCTCAGGTGAGGAGGACACAGAAAAAAACCATGCTCCTCTAGAAACTGCAGGGGCCTTACATGGAACAGTGGTCAGGGAACTACTGTGCAGCAGACTAACATTTTGGAAAAGCAGTCTAGTGTTATATTTGCACCTAATTTAACACCAGGTGTTAACTAGCATAACAGTGACATAGCATTAACTAGTTACTAATTAACTGACTAGCATTAACTAGTGACAGAAACAATTTTTGGTGCTGGAGGTGATGCATAATGTAACACCCCCACCCCCTCACTTTTACATCAGTCTGAGTCTGCTTACACAAATCAGAACTTCAGCCAGGAAGGGGAAGAATTTGTCTTTCCTCAGCTGCCACCCTCGAAGACTTTTGCAGGTGTGACCACCCTTAGAAGATCCAGCTGTGCTTTTTCCGTACTGAGCTGTAAGTTCACTGAAGCCCCATGAGGGTCCTCCACCCATTAAAAACAAAAAACCCCAACACCAGTGAGACCAAGGGTAATGTCAGACACAGCCAGGGCTGTGACTCCTTTCTTGGAAACGGGTCTGTGTGAGTAGACAGCACTACACCCTGCTCCTCACTCCCACAGTGTTCCTTAGAACTGTATTTTTGGACACTCTTCTTCCCCTTTTCAACAGACCTAAACAATCCTGCCTGGAGCGCCAGTCCCACATCTTCAGAGCACGGAGCCTCAGGCAGACACAGTCACCCCTTCCCTGCTAAACTTGCCCATATACCCAGCTCGGTAGCCTTCTGTCCTGGTATACCACAGTCACATCTCTCTCAGGGAATGTGTCTCTGTTGCTTGCCCATTACATAGTGCCCAGACTCTTCTCCTTCTGTGGTTACTACTAAGTCAGCCTTACAAAACACCAACTCCAGCACACAAGGTACATATGGCATTTTGTTTTGTTTTCTTTTTGCATATTATGTACTAGACAAATGCAACATTCAGGCTCAGTTGGGTAACAGAGGAAGACATTCAAACTGACCATAAAGTAAATTGTAGAAAGCAGAGTTTATATGACAATAAGCATGCAGCTTGCAAAAGAATGAAGATAGTGTACTGGTATTAAAACACATTTCCATACAGAGACAGCTGATGCAGCAATTTACAAGTTTAACTTCTGGCTGGAGTATGCAAGCCCTTTAAAGCTGGCATTCAAATTACCAGTAGCTTAATCAGCCATACTTACTTAAAGTACACAGTAAAATTTGATTTAATGTTTACATTCACTAGCCATCCAATCCAGCATCAAGGCACTTTCCTTGTTAGTATGTCTGTCCCTGTGTCCCATGCCTCTGCCTACGTAGATGCATATATCAGCACAGCAACATTCGGTGACCAGTAACCTTGACCACAGACTCCTTAACCCAAATAAAAGCATGTGGTTACTAGACAATCCATCGCTGCATCGAAGTGTCAGGCTGTATGTGACACTGTAAACAAGACTGTTGTGTTAAAAAAACACGGCAAGTCGACTGGATCCATTAACGAATGTGCTTTGATATGAAGAAAAGCAATAGGTGTTATCAGTTTCAACACTGCAGAGAATGCTCATCCACCACGCCTGCAGTCACCGGAGAAGAACAGCTGGTGCAGAGCGCAGAAGATGCTTTAGTCTGAGCAGGAGGACACGGAGCTTTCCAGCCGTCCGTCGACAGTTGTGCCATACACGTTTTTCATCTATTGTTACAGAAGTGTGCTTCTGCAGAGTATCAGTGACTTTATTGCATATATCCCCTTCATGGTTGTCTTTGCAAATGAACACAAGTACTGGCTAAGGCTGCATTCTGGGAGGAACTTACTGCCCACCCTCTCTCTGCGCTAAAATTATGGGGTGGGGAGAAGCAGACAATTGTTGAGATCTGGCCCTTAGTCATTGATTTTAAATTTGTTTGTATCAAATCTTGTGGCCTTAAAAATGCATCCTTGAGCGTTAAGTCAGCACTGCTTTCATTTTTAGGAATGGCTCAGATTGCACAAGTACTACAAAGGAAACAACAGTGAAAGCAAACACACATGCCTTTTTTTTTTTTTTTTTAACTGACCCTTTCACTTCTAAGGAAGAGGGAAGAGAAATGGGAATTTGTGAGTCCAGTGCAAGATACTTAATTTTACCCTTCTCCAGACATTTGTACTTATACCTCCACTTTACTGCAGTTTTCTAGATCAAGAGCTAAGCTGAAGACTGTGGGGTTGGCTGTAATTCCCAAATAGCTGTTTCATGACAAAAGACTCAACGTATTTGTTATAAACTGCTTCCAAAGAACATTAAAAGAAACTCTTGGAATTTAAAATGCTATATGTATCCATCCTAGCAACCAGACAAGAGGTTACAAGGGATTAATGAAGTTTTACAATCCATCAGTCAGCAGAACTTTTAAACATGGTTAAAGGAATGTAACCAAGTAACAGTTAATCTCAATTACAACAACTGTCCCAGGGAAAATAAACTAGTATATTTAGTCCCATTTAACACACATAAATTAGAATTTAAAATGTGTATGTCCTGGAGCAGGGGCTGACTATTAACAATTTTACAGTCTTTGGAGTTTCAGATCCCACTGTTAAGTCAATACTACAACAGCATATATTGATGTGGGTCTTGGATATTCAAGACCTGGCACTAATGAAACAAATTCAGTTACTGAAGTTTAATCAGCATGCTGATTCCCATATACTGGGCACACTAATGTAAGTTTTAACCATCTGGCCATGCTCCTCCAGTGTCCAAGAACAGGACTTGGCCCTCACATGCAAACTCCCTCCTCCTCCCAGGGCTAAAGTTTTTTCCAGTCCTGATGATAAGCATTTTGCTAGGATGCTGTAGCACAGGCAGGCACGTGCTTGTCACAAACACTCCAGAGCAAAGCTTAGAAAAATTTTTGCTCTGCTGTGCTTTGCACTGCCAGGTTAAGGCTTTAGTTTACTACAGTTGGGCATATGAAACATAATTCCAAGACTTTCACTACTGTGAGAGAGGATAGTCCCAGACTAACTGCCCTGAAAGCAAGCCAACACACCTTAGAAAACCACAACAGAACTACAGAGATAAAAACATTCACTTTCCTTGTAAACAGAGGAGCAGTTAGCCTGCCTGCACTTAAGAGATATTTCAAATATGCTAATACAGGAAAAATACTTTATATTTCTACTGGCCTCCCTTTCCTGCCACCAAAGTAACAAGGTCTTTACAAGTATTCTCCCACCCCTACCTGAAAAATTCCAGTCCAGGAAAACAAGATGGACATGAAAGTATCAATAGTGAGTGTGATTTTATTTTAATAATGCCTTTATTTTGTAAAGTGCACCATAATTACTGGGGCAGGGGGGCAGGAAGGAGAGAGCTTTTTCTTTTATTACTGTGTTAGGGCCAAGTTCAGCGAATTTCAGTGGATTGCTCTAATTACATTACAGACACTCTAAAAACCTGTATGCAACTGTTAGATACAATTAGATAGTTATGATCTAAAGTACAAAATCAAGTTAAACTCTGAACACTGCATGATATAATATTTGGCACACAGGTTTATAAACAAGCTGTAAACCTGTTCTTTATATGTATTGTGGCTTCTACAAGCTGTTCAGCCACCAGTATCTCCTGCTTAGTCTTTAATGTTTTAGCCCTAGATAAATGCACAAGCCTTAAAGATAGGGTACAACTCTACCAGACAGACAGAATTCTCTCTAGGCTACACTCCTGTACAACTCTGAGTTTATTACCACTGGCCCACAAAGAAAGAAAGATGCCAGAAGTGACAGGCCAGAACTCTTGTTAGCACAGACCTTTAAAAATACAAATCTGTTGATGCTGTTTAACATTGGAAATGGTCCATGATTAACAGCAACAGAGAGAACAAAATGCCTTCCCTTTACACAACAGAAAGGCAAATAGCAACTTCAGGAACAACTGAAGTTGTCCCTCAAATATGATATATACTACACTATCAAAAGTTAGTATCACTGGATCACAAAACAACAATAAAAAAAATCCCCAAAACTAAATCATCAGTGTGTTTTTGAAAACATTCAGGCATTTGAAGCAATGCTCATACTAAGTAGCCAGGTTGTGGCCCACAGTATTTCAGAGATGAGCCAGAGGTGGATTAGATGCACATGACTGCAGGGCAGTTCTAATATGCATGCAAACCACTCAGAGACTTTCCCTTTTACTTATGGTTTCTACAGGCACTATGAAGTTTGCATAGAGAAGACAACTCATCCCCCAGTAAAGTAACTATTATTTTCCAACAGGAATGTGTTCTGACAAAGGAATGCTCCTTCAGCCTCTGAAAAAAACAAAAGACAATCTCTGCTGTCTCATGACAACATGCTCTTCATTATGCCCTTGCCCTGTCGGATGGAGTTTGAAGGTGCTGGGGTGGAGTGGGGAGAAAAGGAAGGGGACTGGTTTGAAGAAAGCTGTAGTTATAGTAAGCTGCAACATAGTCTTTTAGTTTAAAAAAGTGCCCTGATACAAAAAATACTGTTGGGAGAAAGGAACTGTAGAATACTGAAATGTTATTAAAGATTCTGCATTCTTTATCTGTTTTAAATAGTCCAGACTTCAAGAGGTAATCTTATGAATTTACTTTAGCATTGCATTTTTTTTAACAAAAGCAGAAGACACATGTGAACATTTATATGTAGACCTGTCCTTCCATGCAAGCTGGCAGACAAGGACAAGGGAAGTTGAAATGATAGACACCTGCCTTTCCAGGGCCTTTAGTAACTGCTCTGCAGAACAGCAGCACCAGAGGTCACAGCAAAAAAGGTTTCAGGTGGTCTTAAATACATAGTTCTTTGCTGAAGGAGAAATAAAACCTTTGTTTTATTCTCACAACACAGCATTTAGTGTTTCAAATTAAGGTCTTATTAGTGTCAGATTAGAAAGCTGACTAGACTAAGTTAAGGTTAAAAAACCCCATCTTCATAAGAGTGCCATAAAATTTCTAGTTATCATTGGAGAAGGGGTTTATTTCAATGTAATTTCATTTTTCTTTAAACCCTGGTAGAGGCAGTCTCCAAGAAATGTATCTTCTTCAAGAAAATGCAAACTCTATGAACAGGGGAAAATTGAGACCTAAGGAAAAAAAGTACAGAATTTTAACAACCACTTAAGTGTTATTTGTGGCTTATGATTGCTAATACATACATACTACCAGTAACATTCAAATTCAGGGTATAGGTTTTGTTTTTTCTTCTGAGACCTTCAATGACTTCAGTGCTTTGTTTTTTACTGCTTTCAGTTTCAAGGAGGACCTGCGGCATGAACAGTGACATTACAGCACACTAATCATTGTAGTCAAGGTAGGAAGAAGGTCGTATTTCCTTTCTCCTGAGCAGTTAGAAAAATGATAAAAACTTACAGCTCATTACTTGCCTCTCAAGATGTATACAGCAAAGGTGCACTTATTAAACAGAGGCAATTTATATGACCAGAGAGGTATGGTATAATCAGACAGTGATTTGGGTAAAAAAGACTTTAAATAATTTGTTTTTTCATCTGGATTTTTAAACTTTTGAACATGAGGCTGAACTGCTGTGCATGAAGTTGCAAGGCACATTTTTAGGTCAAATTATTATATAGTTCATGTGTACACATATCTAAATGTAGGCAGAATATCAATTACTATAGTAGTATTCAGAGTCAAGCAATCATGTCTTCTTATTTGCACACCATAGCAAGGTCTATTTCATTTTTGTAATTTTTAAACTGGGATGAACATGATTTACATGTCTAATAAGCTGGAAACTTGAGACACTGGGCCAAGTCAAAATTCAGAAAGTCAGTCAAGCTACTGAAAAGTATATGACAAGTATTCTTCCATGTTGGAATACTAAGTTTCAGTCTTACACAAAGATGCTCCAAGCAACTAAAGCTGGCTTTTTAGGCTTGTACACTGTCACAAATCAAAGTATTTCTTCTAGGAGGTCTATTGGCCAATGTGATTAATCGAAACTTGCCATTTTCAAACATGTGTAAATCTGATAATACACAAAAATTCCAAGGTAGCACAAAGGCCTTGTTCAGCTATCCAGACATAAGATTTTATGTAGTGCATAAAAGTAAGTCTCCAGTAGGTCTGGACTGCAAACTTTCCACAAAAACACAGTCCTTATTGTACTTTGTCAAATTACTCTTCACTTGAATTTCAATATTTCTATCTGCATTCAGATAAAAATACCTAGCTTAATTTATCAGAAACACAGGAGAAAGTGTGAACAGGCACTAATGAAGGCCTAAATAGAGCCAGTCTCTTCTCTCACTGAGGCATATAGCCCCCTTGTCTCACAGTCTGTGGGAGGTAACTTTTTGGCATTTCATCAACTGACAGTGGATTTCCTTCCACTGTTTCAGGTCTCACAGTTTGTCCTTCAGTACTTGTCTGTAAAACACCTAAGAGAGCAGCTTCCTGGGCATTTTTTTCCAGCCCAAGGCCCAACAGCTGTGAACTCTGACCTGAGATCTGCAGTTGTGCAAATCCAACAAGATCCCCCTCATTAGCAGAAGTAATTTGCTTTGTTCTTTCAAAGCATGGCCTGTCTGTGTTGGTTTCATCCTGACCCCCATTTTGTTTGAAATACTGCTGCCTCTGTGTTGTACTGTCACTTCCTCCAGCATGATCCTCTGACCTCTCTTCTGAATCTAGCAGTGGCTGAGTTGACTCAGACCTTGAAAAGACTTGTACAGGTGTTTGGTCTCTGTAGCCATTAAGTACTACAGTTGAATACTGTACAGTGCTTGAAGTGTTTTGCGTAGTTTCACCTTCGTCACTGTCAGAGACACTTTGCCTAGGAGAAGACATGCACGAGGATCCTCCAATACCACTGCTGTGCCCTTCTGAAGTACTTTTTTCCTTTTTAAGCAAGTCAAAGGGTTTTAGATCTTGTTCTGAAAAAGACTTCTTGTCATCAGCTTCTATTTCTACGACGCTTACATCTGTAAAGCTGCCTTCTGGGTACATCTGATCTTTGGAACTAAAGTTATGCTGAAAGAAAGAGATGGATGTTGCCTAAGAGGAAGGTTATGTTAAAAATCAAAACCCCATTAAATATCTGCATTTTTATTCTGTAATTGTTTTGAATTTATTCATGTAAGTCTTCTGCTTACTAAGTTTGGCAATATCTCCAAAGTATCTGTTAAGAAATGAAGGACATAGCTTTGTTTCCATTACAAAGTCTTAATTATGCAGCTACTCTAAAACTATAGTGGGTGTGCAAGCTTTGCTCTAATTTTAATTATTCTTAAGAGCTGTAAACACAGAACCATTTGCTGTGCAGCACAGGAACATTCTATACTGAGAGCCATACATATGTTACTCCAATAACATATTCAACATCACAGCACTTCTTCACAGAAGTTAGCCACAGTTTATTGAACAGAATTTGCTATGTCATTCACCCCACATGGGGCATAAATCTCCTCACCCATGAGGAACTCTTAGAGCTTTCCCTCTCATTCATGACTTAACTGTGCAAACAAGTCACTTCAGGGTTTTAAGAATGGGAATCATGAATTCTGTTTACTTACTCCCAATCTCCCATGAATAAGTAAAATAATTAGGACTTGACCCTTCCAATTAGTAAACTGAAGGTAATTCACAATATTAAAGCCTGCTCTATGCTGTGAACTTGTGCTAATGTATTTCTAATGCTGAATCTATTGATGCAATAAAGTCTTCTAAATATATCGTATCACAGTGTCATGAAACTTAACATCCAGGTTTTTTTAACTTGAAATCCATGTGTGCTAGAAGACAGAAGACTCCCACTGGTTGGTTTATTGGGAACCTTGTGGACTAGGAAGATATAAGATGCAGAAGGATGAGTATTACCTTAGCTGGAACTTGAGGAGACCACTGGGCAATGTTACTCTTGGATGGATCAGGGACAATAGGCCAGATATGCTTTTTAATTCTGTAAAGGATTAAAAACAGAATAAAATTGCAAGATGCACTCCCCAAATTCCTAAGTTGATAGGAAGTACTGCATAATCCAGGACACCACTCCCTTACATAGGAATTTTGCAAGAGTATTTATTTCCAAATAGGAATGCTTCCTGCACTTCTTTACATCTTTGTAGAAAGCTGTACTACTTAGCCAAACACAGCATTGTACTTACAACTCTTCCACACATCAGACGTAGCCATCCAACACAAGGCAAATCAACCAATGGTAACTGTTAGTGAGGGATTTTCAAATTTACAGCACTCTAGAATTGACAGCAATTATTTAGGTAAAGTCTATGATGCATGTCAGTATAAAAATACACTGTTGCTTCTTGAAGATAACTATCACAGCTGTCAAAATCTAAGCCAACTTCACAGATAAAAATAAAGTGAAAATATTTGAAGAAAAACTTGCTTGGTCTTTTCTAACTCTGAACTCTTAAGAATGTAGTAACTGTTACTTAACAATAGAAGTTTCTGTAGATAAATCACATCCAACCAAACTAACTTTGAAACTGATACATCTATCCTGCTTTTTACAAAGAGGCTCCAACACCAGATCCTCTGTAGAAGAACTGTGAAGAAGGCTGCAAGATGGGCTTTTCAACTGATGTCCATTAAGAACTGATTTTAGGAGCAGCAGGGAGGTCAGAAGGAAAAGGGCACAAAATAATGTCTTTAATCAGAAAGAAAAGATAGTTGACTGCAGGGGGGGGGTGGACATGGGAGAGGTGCTACTCCTTGCCAGGGAAAACACTTCAGCAATACGCTCTCAGCTAAAGCCACACAAGAGCTCTGGCATAGAGGGAACAGGAGGAGGCAGGATGTTTCCCAGCAGACAGTGAATAGGCACAGAGTTTGACTGAAGTTATGGAAGGTAAGTAAGATGTTAGCCTAATTTTTTTGGCTGCGAAGTGTCGAGTTTGCTAACACTAATTAAATAGCTCAAATACAGCCAGAAAAGAGATCTTCTGTGCTTCACAAACTAGGGACCATCATTTCATGCTCATATGATGACTTAGAAAACAACACAGACAGTATGTCCCAATCAAAACCCAACAGACCTAATCCTGACCAAGTCTAACAAGAAAAGCAGGAATTTCCTTGCAGGATTGAGTCATGGAACATTTAGTTTGAGTGCTACTCCTTAACAGCAAGAAATTAGTATCAGAAGATGCCCTGATTTTTCAAGGAAAACACAAAAATGTTTATCAGCAATCAATGTATGCATGTTTTACCTTCTTTTTCTGATCTAACTGCAGAATATTTACTTGTTTGTATTGAATTATTGCCACCTCTGTTATGCCCAGAAATATCAGAAGTATAAGAGAAAGACTACATTTATACTTACAAGTCACGTTTGTTGAAGCAGAACAAAACTCCAAGGAGCACAATCAACAGGAATGCTAGACACACAGGTACAACTATGGCTTCAATTTCTCCTTTTCCTGAAGAAAGTGAAGAGAAGCAGTTATAGCCCACTTTGGCTTTTAAGGAACTCAGCAGCAGCATACATTCCCAAAGTGACAGGGAGAATCTGAAACTGAACACACCCACAGGGCTCAGTCTTAAGCTTCACCTTCAGAAGAACCCTTTCACCATATGAAGACAGCCTGTTGGTGAAAACATGAAAAGCTCTGTCCCAACAATCTAATGCCTTGCACCAACAAAAACCACACGTTGCTTTAGAAGCTGTAATACTGATGGAGCAAGTAATTTTACAGTTTGAACAGATATGACAGTAACATCTATGTGAATTAATCTGTGGTCCAGATGTTTCAGTGCCCTCCTGGCTGCCATAACACATCGTGGTCAAGTAAGTAATATAAGCAAAGTCACTAGTCATCCATCAGTTTATCCTGTACACGAAAATATCCTCTGCCTGCACTTAAGGCTGCATTACTGTTATGTATTCCTTCCAATGCTACACACATTAAGTAAACCTTACAGAATGCTTAGAGAAGAGCAACACTATCCAGAAAAACAACACCACCAAACCCACTGAAGAAGTGCTTTCCACACCTAAGTTTGGTTAATGTTTTTGCTCTTACCATTACAAATAGGAAACACTCTTTAAAGCTGAACATACAATAAATTTAACTCTTCAAAATGAGTCTCGGTAGAGAACTGTAGCAAACCTTAATAGTGATATGAATGAGAACGTGGAACCTGAGGAAGGGCTGTAAGAATGGCATGTGCTGACTGGCACCTAGATTAGCATATCAAGATCCCAGCACACCTCTGCAGCTTCTCATGACACCCATGTATCAGGGTAATAAAGGCCAACCTACTTTCAGATTAAAACAAAGACTCTGGAATCTTTAAGACCATGGTAGGAGCCATCAGACACCAGAGGAGAAGACAAGGGCACTGAGTAAATCCCAACAACTCACGCAAAGTTGGGGCAAAAGAATACTTTAACCTAAAGTATACACAAAACACATCCCAAACCAGCATGTTTGCCAACATAAAAGAGCAATCCAGGGGACCTGCAGAGGACAGCTTGTCCTCTGTACCATCAGAAGAAATCCTGGCTAAACTACCTCTTTGTGATTGAGTACTAGATAGGCTACCTGGATATCACACACCTTGTGAGTATGACTGTGACTGAAACTTTTTTCTTTTAAATTAAATCACCTTCCCCTCCTATCAGATCTTGCACGCAGCCTTACTATACTGTTGCAACATTACTTCTCTGCCTTACCAAACTTTTGTGTAGTAAATGTAAAATCGGGACCACTCCTGCCTCCTTCATCTGTGTATGCCATCATCCGCACTGTATACAGTGTGTCACTGGTTAGAGAAGAAAGGGTATACTCTGTCTTGGAAGGATCCACTGTCACAGCTAAAGAGAAGAAAAAATTTATACTACTTTTCCATACAATTTATTCGATCTCCACAAACACAATAGCATTAGGACATCACATCTTCAGGTGTACAAGATAGTTTTAGTAGAACGCATGGCTGTGTGGAAAATAGAGCTGACAGGAAGACTAAACTTGTACAAGAAATGCTGAGATTCATTTGCTTCTGCTCAAGTGTTTGAATTTAGTCTCTTTCTTGATAGAATTTATGTGCTAATTTCCTGTGTGGGTTTTTTTTTTCCCTCAGAGCATAGCTACCAACTAAACTAGTAGTGAAGCTGAAGCTTAAAGCTCTCCAATAAGCAGAATATGTGGCTAACTAGAAATAGTTAGTCACTAACTAAAAAAACCATAGTTAACTAGAAACAACAAGAAGTAGGCTAGGCATAAGTAAACGGCCCTTTCAATTTAAGCAAATCTAAAGAGTAAAAGCTTTTGATAGTGCTAGCTCCCAGTCTTATGCCTGCAAGTCATACACACTACTGAGAACTAAAATGCACTTCAAACAATATGTTTTACATCAGTAATGCATTGATCTAGAGCTCCAGGAGGATTACCCCCCCACACTTTTTTTTAAGGCTTTATCATAGTTGAATGCACTTAACTCCTTTACAGCTTGAATGGTCTAGTTTCATCTTGCAACACCACCATCTCATCCTGTATTTAGATAGAAAGATGGGAGCACAATACCCACAAATCAGCTTTCAGAAACTAAACTCAGTGCCCTGCTACACACAGACTGAATGTTCTGAATTCCTTATTAGTGACTGTTTTGTTCAGTATGGAGGAGAGCTACGCCTCAAACATCAGCTTTATGTCATCAGAACAGACTATCAGCCACACTTGATTCTCTATCTTTTTTTCAGGAACATGTATTAGGAAGGAGACAGATGGAATACTTCAATGCCACAAAACACCGCTCTGCATTCTGTTACCTGTTTCATTTCCATCAATAGTTTTGTAAAATATGGTGTAACTTCTGATAAATCCATTTTGTTCATCCACTGTGAGATGGTTCCATGTCAGAACAGCTTCAGCTTTTCCTACTTTTTTTGTCTGAATGGTTGGTCCTTTTGAAGGACCTGTAATGGGAGATGAAGATTAGTTTCTGTTGGTCACCTTCACATCCACAGAACCAGTGTACTAATGAGCACCAAGTTGCTCCTGCATAAAAACTTCAATGAAATAGCTAGACTAACTCCTCTGCAAAGTATTATTTTCAGACAACATAGCAAATCCAAAGGTGTTTTAAAAGAGGAACCTCCAGGAAAAAAAGATATGAAAAACAGTAATCAGCAGATCATGTGAAATCATCATCTGAAGTTAATCAGTCTTGGCTTTATACTTGGAATTTAAAATAAATCAGTATGGAAATATTAGTATACCAATAAAATAACAAACTCAAGCCAAATTATCTGATAAAGGTTGGAAAAAGGGAAGGAGTCAGCCACAGATGTCTGTTTGTCATGGTTTAACCCCAGCCAGCAACTAAGCACCACGCAGCTGCTGACTCACTCCCCGCCACCCAGTGATGGGGGAGAAAATCAGGAAAATAAGTAAAACTCATGGGTTGAGATAAGAATGCTTTAGTAGAACAGAAAAGAAACTAATAACGATAATGATAACACTAATAAAATGACAACAGCAATAATAAAAGGATTGGAATGTACAAATGACACGCAGTGCAATTGCTCACCACCCGCTGATTGACACCCAGCTAGTCCCCCGAGTAGTGATCCCCCGCCCCCCCAGTTCCTAAACTAGATGTGACGTCCCATGGTATGGAATACACCGTTGGCCAGTTTGGGTCAGCTGCCCTGGCTCTGTCCTGTGCCAACTTCTTGTGCCCCTCCAGCTTTCTCACTGGCTGGCCATGAGAAGCTGAAAAATCCTTGACTTTAGTCTAAACACTACTTAGCAACAACTGAGAACATCAGTGTTACCAACTTTCTTCACATACTGAACTCAAAACATAGCACCATACCAGCTACTAGGAAGACAATTAACTCTATCCCAGCTGAAACCAGGACACTTAAATACTGTAAAGAAGCAGAATGGATGTTAATAGAAGGGACAAGATCAATTACATCAGATGACCCTCAAGTGGAAGATCATTTTTCATTACATAGTCCACATTAAAGCAAAGGTCTCATTATTTTTAGTCAAGAAAGTCAGTTTACGTGCTCCAAGATAACCATTTTGTACTTACGATCCTGCTGAAGATAAGCCTTCACAGACTGTCCACTTCCTTGACCATCAGCATACAGAGGGTAAACAGTTATCAAGTAACACTTGAACGGCTTTATATCACCTAATAAAGGAAATTTAAAATGTTTCACAGACAGTCAAATTCTTCACCATCCTCATTTACTTCAGATACAGGGTTCTGGATTTTGGCTGTTTTATTAAATGCACTCATATCTAATGCAGCTGACTTTCTAGAGCTCATTGATACACTGCTCCAAATTATTAACTAAAGGAACAATACAATGGCTCACATTCAAATGTTAAATTTAATAAACGGACTTCACAAAAGTTCATCCCTCCCTTTGAGAATACTTACTAGGTTTTTAGAGTGTTCTACAAAGTATTTGTAGACTTATGAGCTAAATACCTTTTAAATATGTTCCTTGAATATTTCCTGGTTCGTTCTGCCATTCTATAGTGCAGTCTGAGCTGTTGGACACCAGACACCATTCGATCACATATTTAAGAACATAACTGTTAGGAGCAGTCCACCCTACCCACAACTTGCCATCTTTAGGTAGTGTTCTAACATTCTTCACAGGAGCTGTGATGCAAGAAAACAGAATAGTGGTAAATACTGACAGTTCTTCCACTAGATATTCATAACAATAGCTATTTTGTCAAATGTGGATACTTCTGTGTTATTGTAATGGTGACAATTTGACAGAACCTAAGTAAATGTAAAAGCCATCTTCTGAAATTTGGAAGCTTACATCTGAATCTTTATATCAGAGATCCAAAATAAGCAGTATTAAGCTACTTGAAAACTGGAAATTAGCCTCACAGTAAGTTGCCTTATTGCACAGTAAAGAGATACTATGTTTCTTCCGAAAGAAAGGGTCTATTTCAGAGACAAATCAAACCTTGAGACACTTCTAAATTCCCATTCTAATGCTCATCCTCATGTACCTTACCAAATGCTTCTCACTGCAATGCTACTCTGTTTGAAACATACCCTTAATTAGTTTACCTAACAGTTTTAGAACCTGTGGCTCCCCCTTGGTGTTTACACTAAAAGCAGCATCTGCCTATATACTTATTTTTTGCTTCCTGTCCTGCTAGTGTTCGGATTGTCTAAGAGGAGGCTGGAAGTAAGGAGAAACCAGCCTGTAGTTACTACTACTGCACAGTGAAAGGAACTTAAAAAGGAACATGAACAGTAGGGAAACAGGGGAAGCAGATAAGGCAGCTGGGCAAGATGCTGGAACTGTGGGAGAGACAGGGACAAGAGAAGAAAGGGGTGGGGGGAAGATCAGAAAGCAGAAGGGAGAGCAATGGTGAGATAGTATATACATGAAGTAAAGGATGCTTGCTTCCCCAACCCTCTGATTTTTTAATAAGAAAACAAAAATGCCCACTATACTAAGAAAAGAAACAACAGGGAATATAGTGCACAGTAGGTCTAAGGATCAAAAAGAACAGCAAAATAGCACACATAACTTCAAATGAGGCTGTGGGTATATAAACCTTCCCTAGTATACACGGGAATATATATCCATGTTCCCTAATATACAAGTGGTGGCATAATTTTAAAGCGTTAAGACTGCAGATACATTCAGTAATACTTTAATTATGTGTCCATGTAAATGGTATCATTTTACAACACTGAAGATTTCTTACAACAAAAGTGATGCAGATGCATTTGACACAGACATTACTAGGACACTAACCTTTTGTATTACTTGCTGGGATAAGTAAAACTGATGGAGGGGATGCCCCAACTCTGTTACGGGCAATCACAGTCACTTCATAAGTTCCATTTGGCAGCTTTAATGTAAGGTTGGTGGTACTGACATTGTATTTCTCTGGCGGACTGGAGAGAGATGATTTAGCTCTGACAGTCACTTCATACTGCAAGATTACTCCACTGGCTTCAGATGGCTCCAATGCCTGTTAGAAACACATCTTTGATTATACTGGGAATGAACAAATGTGACCTAACTTTTATTGTCTTTGATGTGTAATTTAAAATCAGAGTGCAAGACAAATAGCTGTATATTCAAGGAAAGCACAAATAACCTGTGTTCATTTCTAGAAAGCAGTAACTTCCAGAATGATTTCTGGTTTAAATCCTCTTTTTCTTGGCTCACAATCCTACCTAATAGTTTAATAAAAGCTATTCAGTAAAGACTGCAGAACATGTGTTGATAAAACTGCCATTTCATGTGACTTTACAACATAATGACATAAAAGGAATCTCACATCTTAAGCTGCGAACCTGAATTCAAAACAGCCTGAGTAGTTCTCTTATTACACGTGGTAAAATACTTGTTTCTGTTATCTAATAACACAGAAAAATAGTATGTACTGTATAAAAGTATTAGTTTTCAGATAACTTAGGAGAAAACTGTTGAAACTGTAAAGTAGCACCAGTTCTCCAGTTTTAAGCTAAATAATGTCAGAAGTGGCATGTGGCATACGAATTACATCAGAAAATGATGCCATATCAATATACATGTAACTTCACACAAGCCACCTAGTAATAGGGAAAAAGTAATAATAAAGAGACAGCTAGATCAAATGCGTCAGAGTTCATGGACCAAAAGAAAGCAGGAGATGGGGACTGACCATAAATGCATTCACTTTCTCAGCTTTGGACTAATCAGCCAACAAGACACAGCAGCCTACTGCATGCAAATGTACAGTGCTGTATTTAATAAGTTTGGCCTCTGGAATGCCTCTAGGCTTAATGGATTTTGCAGCTGGAGTATCCCCATCCAGACAGTGTTACCAGTTTTAGGATACAGCAGGAGGCATAACATGAAGGTTTACTTTGCTCAAGTGAAAGTTTCCAATTCCACAGACTCCTTAGGACAGCAAGTCAGGAATCTGGAAGTGGATTCTGTATACTCTGGATCACAGATGTGTGTCAGTTAACTGATGGCCTTTACATCTATGCTGTTATTATAATAATACTGAAGTCACTTCTTGTATCAATAAAACCTGTATTATCCCAGCTATCTACTCAAGTTTGTCGAGGTAAATTTTGCCACTTAAAAACTCATGTTTTTAAAAGAATGCTCAATTCCTGCAGTTTATAATGTTGCTTTACCTTCCACATCAGATGCACAGTCCAGGAAGCTGGTGAGCTAGATGCATCAATGATCCTCCATATGGCTGGTCCTTTAGATGGTTCTGATGAAAGAAGCAATGCTTAATAGTAGAAATATTTTTATTTAGTCTGTTTGAATTAATCCTTTGACTATCATTAGAAGGTTATGCCCCCTCCTTTTTTTTTTCTAAAATAAAAACATATACCAAAAGCGTTTCTTTAGTTCCTCAAATCAAGTAATGCTTGGTATATTACACGGAACACCTGCATGGAAAGACTTCCTGAAGGGATGAGCAAAACACCAGTTCTGCTCTAAGTGTACAGTACCAAAATAACTGAGAGTCACCATGCTGAGCTTCTGCCACAATGGGCTGAAGATGACAGTGCTGAGTGAGGCATGACCAAACCTACACCATGCAGCCTGTGTTCAGAGGCACAGCCCTGAATACCTGTATGCTGCAAATCTTGCTATGGTCTGTAACTCCAACACTCTCCCTACCACCCCAATATCAAGTCACCTAAAAAAGGAGAGTGCAGGAAAGTTAAAAAAGAGACAGATTTCTCCTGCCAGAATTCCCCGAGTTTCCTATATCCTTTATGCTAAAAAAGGGTAACAGAACTGCAGTACCTTTGTATAATACTACAATACTTTCTGGTGTCAGTACTGTAAGAAAATTTGAGTGATGTTTCCACTACAAATTTCACTTCAAAGTAAAATTAATCAATCTATTACAGTGCATAAAGCAATAAAAAGTGGCCAATCCTTTGTTAGGGCCTTAGCCCTAACAGAAAGATGATCTTAAAATGAACTTACATTTATAATCTTGCTAGTCTGTATTTTCTCTGGGAGTTTTTATTGCATTTTTAAATATAATCAGTATGAGTTTTTGGCTGTTTTACCTCCAAAACCCAGTATCAATTCTATAGTGTGCCTCTTATCTCTTATGCTTTACATCAAGAGGGAAGGAGAACTGCGAGCTGAGGCAAAGGGAGCTTGCTCTTAACAATCTTGTTTGAGTACTCTGATTTGATTAATGTGAAACAGAAGCAATTATACATCTTGCCTGATATAGATCATGAATGCACCATGATCTGCCTTATGTTCATTTCCACCATAACACCTTTGTTCTGAGGCTAAAATAAAGCCTGGGTACTTAATCACTAATAGCAGTATTTTTGCAAAGCCAGTCACCACAGCAGAACAGCAAGGCAGTCTAAATACATAGGCAGTCCTGAAATCCTCATTGCTCAGGTTGAGACAGTAACCACAGAAAACAAAACCATACTGTCCTTAGGAGTTGAAAAGTGACTGGAATATTGAAAGAATATTTGACAGTATTTCCCCCAGAGAAAGTAGATTTTGCATAGAGCTGAAGCAATGCCACTATGTACACATAAATTCCATTTTGTTTAAACAGGTAGGGTATATACTGTAATCTTTTTCTTACTTCTCCAATATAAGATGACATGTGAATTCAGTCCAAACTCATTACTGGGAGCTCAGTTAGGATTAATAAGGAAGGATTTATGATTCAGTGCAGTTAGTTAAGCTCCAAGCACAAAGTGGTGTTTTGACAATGAAACTTGCATTGGTTTAACTCTGTTTAAACACATGCACTGAAATGCTGTGCTAAATAAGACTGCTTAAGAGGGTGCCTTGGAAGGCACTAAGGAACAGATAGGATACTACAGAAAGGAGACCAGGAAGAACACAAGCAGGAAAGGCTAAAGCACATTTAAAAAAAAAAAAAATCAGGCTAACTTAGAAGCTAAGCAGATATCACAAAGTATTTGTAGCAGTCAGAGGGAAGAATAGAGTCCCTGCTGGGTATCAAGCACACAACCAGAAGGTCCATTCACTGGCTCCATATGGGGTAGGACAAGTACAGGCCAGAAACAAAGCCAGTCTTCCAGGCTATCAAAGTAGAAATTAAATGGAAATGGGACAAAGCTCAAGTATTTTCACTCCTCATAACACTAGAATTGAAAGAGAAGAGTTTCTAACTGGTAATAACCGAGGTCCTGGAAAAACAAGACAAAATCCCCACATCATTTAAGTCTCTTTAAAGTCAGAAATCAGCAAGTGATTCCCAATGCTGCTGCTACTGATGATTCAGGAAGAAACCAAAAAAGCTTTTAAAATCAAATCCCTGTAAGGGTGATTTACTAATTTTAGAATCCCCAGAAATCAGAGTGCATGTTATTGTAACATACACAGCTATGCAGCAAACCTGGTCTGCTGGATATAAAGACCCTTGGCTACAGCCACTATTTGGAGGTAAAAAGTAGATGTTTCCTGATAAGGATTAGGTATTAAAACAATTGCCAAAGACTTCAAAATTGCCAGAATGCTTGCATTAGTCTTCAGCACCATGGTTGCATATTTGTGCCTTTGCATTTAAGGATTCTGTTGAAATTTCACTTGATAGTTACAGTACTTAACACTTGGAAACATAATCAAGTGGAAATATAGAAGTATACCTTTCTGAATATAGTAGCGGTAAATACACCCATACCTTGGTAGCTTGCTACTGAGACAAACACCAAATCTTTCGAATGCAGCAGGCAAGCAGATATAGAATCTTCTGAGATACAGGTCTAACAGTCTCAGACAAAGCACAACATCTAAAAAGTCGGTTTTATAATTTGATTGAGGGCAATAATAATGGCATAAGTAACTTAAGTGTCTCCTGTCTGCTTGTTTCATTTGCAATAGGCAACTGTACAGTAAAAATCGATTAACAACATTTTGGTACAGGTTTTGCCAAAATTGCAACCTGAAGTCCCTTGTTTGAGCCTGACACTTGGTAGAAAAAGGATCAGGGAACTATGGACCTCATGAGCTCCTTTCCAACTTAAGTTATCCCACTACCCTATAAATTTGCAACTGTATCTAGGCATTTGCAAGAGGTGACCACACCTCTGAAGTTCTCTGTAAGCAAATTCAGAATAGGAAATTATTTTACTGTCAACTTATAGCTACAATAGCAAACTGATAAACAAGCAATGCAGAAAAAGTGCGACTATCTTGTTATCATTAGGAGGCATAGCTACAACAATTTGTTAAAATGCTGTTCTACCAGCAGAAGACAGACTGTATTTACATTTGCAGTGTATCACAACTAACAGCACAGGTATTCCTCAACAGCTTACTGCACACTGAAATTAGTTCCTTACCTTTAGCAAGAAGCAAGACACTAATGTAGGGTGTTCTGATACCAGTAGAGGTTCAGAGTCAAGAAGATACCAGTTAGTACCTCTCAAGCATCTATTAAAGATGTTAAATTAGTTCCAGTTCAGTCTAAGGGTACTATTCAGATGAATGACAAAAGGAAAATAGACCACAGAAAGTTATACATCAAAGCCTGGGGCTTTTATTTGGAGAGCAAATTAAAGGGCCAAATGCATAGGTCTAGGTTGTGTTTGTATACACTGCATGTATTTTTGTTCTGTTAATGGAAAATTTAAGAATCCACTATCTGAGAACAGGATTTTTCATACTGTAACAAATGCATGGGTATGATTTTAATGTCAGTTTTCCAATAATTACTGCTCAGTTATTGTGCAACTTTATTTTGTATGGGTTTATAGCTGCTGCAGCAATTGCTAAGTCATGAAATGCTGCAAAACAAAAACAGCCAAAAAAAAAATGTGCTGTGAAGTATATTAATTCATAACACAGTGAGTTGTAGTTACTTTAATGTCACAGCACATTTCAAGCAATACATGTGTTCATGAGCAACGGGAAGCAATCAATGAAGTTAAAAAACATGCCGTGGAATGGAATGGACACAGATCTTAGAAGAGACCGAGTGCAGTAACAGCCACAGTGCCACTGTCCCAAAGGAATATGAAGGAGTCCAGGGCAACACAGCACACCTGCAGAACATACAGTTCAATGGAAACAGACAATGCCATAACAGCTGACTGGAACATCAGAAGGAGTTCAAAGGCCAGTCAAGTTGATGAGCTTGCTGTAGTGTGAACAGATTTGGCACATGGCAGCAACTTTGCCATGCTGAGGATTTGCTCCACAAAGCAGCGAAGGCTGACACTTGACTGAGGCTCTTCAGCAGTAATTTTTCCCCAGGGCTGTGAACCTAAATCTTAACCTAGTGGTTTGCTATCTTTTGCATATTGTTAAGTAGTAATTGGTTTATACTTTGAAGTTGTATATATCCTGCTTGCAAAGTCCTTTTGTGCAAGACTAAACATGATCCAAATACTGCCCCCAACAAGCTGATGGTAAAAGTTTTCCTCATTACATCACGATAGCAGTAATTCAGCATTCACCTCTATGGCAAAGGGACAGGATATTACAAGTCCAGATTTATAAGATGACAACTCCAATGATTATGTCATCAAGATAGAAAATTGTAAGGAAACAGTGACTTTTGTGATTAAATACAGCTAAAATAAAACCATTTTTCACAGAGACTCAACCTTGCTTGAAGTCAGCAGTTAACAGATGGCAATCTCTTTCTTATGCCTCCCACAGTGACAACTGGATCAGCGATAAGCAGCAAGACTCTTGATTACTGTGTGCAGAATATTGTAAACAAGTGGGTACAAGACAGTGCAAAGGCAGCTGCGACAAGCAAGAAAGTGTTGTAGATGCAGGACACCTTGGGAAAAGTTAAGAGTAAACCAGAGTGTTTAGATGCTTTAGTGCATAAAAGGCTAAACTTCCCATATGACATTATTTCATATTATGGCTTCACTAAATTTGTGAAGAACTCTATGTACGCTGTATGATTAAAATCTTCTGTTTCATACTTATTGATGCTTGTTCACCTATGACTTTATCTAACGGTCTCCTAAACACTGAGTTGTTCACAAACTAAGGCAGTCTGTCTACCAAAAAAAAAAAATCCTTTCACACAGGCAGACTAGCTTTATGCTCCTTTGCATGCATGGTTCAAGTTGGTCAGTACTGAAAGTAACTCAGGAGAGCCTTGTTGCATGTATAATCAAACAGCTCAAGCGAGGATACACGATTCAGCTGGCTATTGCCAAATTGCTGAGCACTCACACATTTTGAAAGTCAGTGACCTACTTTCATATATTACTTACTATCTTCAGTTGTGACCCCAGTTTTTTCTTCACTCCAGTCACTCCAGTAGCCCACCCCATCTTCCTTCATGCAACGAATTGAAAAGACATACTCTGTGTAGGGTCTGAGCCCTTGAACACTGAATGAAGTTCTTGGTGAAGCTGTATCTTCAGGAGGAACCTATAAATGGAAGAAAGATTTGAGAGGCATTGATCAAAAACTGTAAAGCTGAGTTTTGTGCTACTACAGCTCCCATCCAAGAGGGCTTCCTACAGCATACACACCCAGTACAAACAACATAGTTTTTCTCACCTATTTCCAAAAGCTTGAATTCTCAACCATGGTTTTGTAAGGGACCAGGTTTGTGTATATTTACCAGATACAATACAATACATACACTACAATAGGTAAGCAGCTATCTCAGGACAGTGTTTTCTAATTAGTTCATGTCTACTTCTCTGTCCCTCCTATATAATTCCTCTACTTACTGATCTACAATATCCCCCCTCACATTTCAGAACTTTGCTAGGTTATCTGCTTGATTGTTGATTGTAAAATACCTGTGCTAGAAACCTCCTATAAAGCTAGAGAATCCACGATTATTGCTTCCACTGATACACAACAGTGTTTCTTAACTGACATTGGAAATAGTTTGTTTTAGAGTAGTTTATACTTTTGCTAATAAATGACTTTATTTTCATAAGCTCTTTCCTCTATCTTAGATTAGCAACTGAATGCCAGAAAATATTCTTATTGTATATGTACAGAAACAGATGTGTGATATAGATAATAGATATATGTAGGTCACACATACTGACTCATCCCACATTATTCCACTTGCAGTTAAAGGGTTTTTTATAGTGAACGACCCTGCAAGAGAAATGACTGCAGATTATATGTCCACACATGCAGGACACTCAAAAGGTTAATCCTAAGTGTAAACAACTGTCAAAGTAGTAAAATTTTACCACAGCTACACAAGCTCAGTTGTTTTAAAAATTACTATTTCAATGGTCTTGTGCATATGTTAAAAGGGCAAGACAAATTAAAATGACTTATAGGACAACATGTCAATAGATCCTGGAGTTGCAGAATAAGCTGTGCAGGGCAGTGCTCTTTAAAATACCAGTACAGGTGACCTTAATAATTAATGTCTGCATCTAACACTTGAAACGTTCCTCCAAAGGATCACATTACATTAGTCACAAGTAGCTGTGTTATGCTACCTGCTTCAAACACCATATTTTGGTTAAGTCAGAAGCAGTCTTCCTTCCAACAAGGCATGAAATTCAGAATACTTTTGGCCATCTGTACTGAAACAAAAATGGGAAGATCTTGATAAGAGTGTTCCTGGAATGGTGCTGCTGTGAGAGAAGGCTTAAAGAAAGGCAGAACTGAGAAACTATTGAAAATATGTCCATAGACTGATGTAGAAGAAAAAAACCCCACAACTCTGGATGATATGAACATATTCAGGTAAGGCATATGCCTTACTCTTTTCCAGTTCCTTGACTGCATCAGGCTTAAGCCATGCATCCAGGACAACCATACTGTATAGAATCATAGAATCATTCAGGTTGGAAAAGACATGTAAGATCAAGTCCAACTGTAAACATAACACTGCCAAGTCCACCACTAAACCATGTCCCTAAGTGCCACATCTACACATCTTTTAAATACCTCCAGGGATGGCGACTCAACCATTTCCTATGGCAGCCTGGTCCAATGCTTGACAACCCTTTCAATGAAGAAATTTTCCTAATATCCAATCTAAACCTCACCTGGCACAACTTGAGGCCATTTTCTCTCATCCTATCACTTATTACCTGGGAGAAGAGACTGACACCCACCTCACTACAACCTCCTTTCAGGTAGCGGTAGAGAGTGATAAGGTCTCCCCTCAGCCTCCTTTTCTCCAGGCTAAACAACCCCAGTTCCCTCAGCCACTCCTCATAGGACTTGTTCTCTAGACCCTTCACCAGCTTGGTTGCTCTTCTCTGGACACGCTCCAGCACCTCACTCAATGTCTTTCCTGTAGTGAGGGGCCCAAAACTGAACACAGTACTTGAGGTGAGGTCTCATCAGTGCTGAGTACAGGGGGCAATCACTTCCCTAGTCCTGCTGGCCACAGTATTTCTGGTACAAGCCAGGATGCTATTGGGCTTCCTGGCCACCTGGGCACACCGCTGGCTCATATTCAGCCAGCTGTGAACCAACACTCCCTTTTCTACCAGGCAGCTTTCCAGCCACTCTTCCCCAAGCCTGTAGCATTGCATGGGGTTGTTGTGACCCAAGTACGGGTGCAGCAAGTTCAAAAAAGCATCCCAGCACTGTACAGTGTTTGCCCAAGCTTTAAATGATATTTAAATCAGTAGTTTTGCATGTGCATGGGAAGATGAAAGTTCATGAATGTTCTAGATGTTGCACATACAGAACAAAAAAATTCAGAATAAACATACTGGAACATGATGGGAAAGGACAGCAGAAAAGTCCACAAAGAAAAGACAAGGTCAATGTACTCTAGATTGTGCCCAAAACCCCTAGATCATAGCCTTTATGAACAGGCCAGATAAACTACCTTGGGAGGCGACATAAGGCCTAAGGATGATAAAGCGAATCCTCTGAACTGCAGCAGTGAGGGAACTTTCACAGTTTGACAAATGGCTGGGTCACAGCAGAAGAGTGGCAAGGGACATTAGTGGGATTACCTGCATCCAGTTTGTGTCACCAATGATCCTATAGCGAATATTGAATTTCAGCTTCATCACAGCTATAGAAATCTGATTCTCCCAGGAAAGCTTCAGAACAGTTGGTAGTATTCCTGAGTTGACTGATAAGTTGCGGGGCGACAGAGGTTTAACTAGAAGAGAAGGAGTTAGTCAACTCTACAACTGTAATTTATCATGCCTCTAGCAGTTGGTACACTATGTTGTAACACTACTATTAAAGCCTTTCACAAGCTCAAATGGCTGTATTTCACACCAGTTTCTAAAGCAGACTACTCAACAAGAACTTGCTATCTGAACTGTGATCAAATCTCTCACTTTCCCTACCTTTGTCCAGCACAGTTCAAGTTCTAGTCACCAATATTTTGGCAGTGTTAAATTTTTATAGTAAAGAAACATGAACATACCAATTCAGCAATATGCACAGAAGCAGCACTTATGTACTAATAAAGCTTTATTAAGAGGCATATAGTTACCAATCTCAATGGGATCAATAACAAGAGGATCAGATTCAGCCTTCCCAAGAGCATTTGCTGCTTCTACCCAGACCTCCAGGTTAACAAAGAACTGAACATCATCAATCGTACAAGAATTGTTTACATCTTTTGGTATACAGTCAGGAAAGTTCTCTTGTGGCCTAAATAAAAGAAAAAACAGGTACAAAGCAGTAAGTTCAGTTCCTTTAGAGAATCTCTAAGTAAATCAGAGTGATCAGGTTAGCTCATGTCTCCCCTCTGCCATTATCTTTGTAAGCAGAGGCGTGGGAAGAAAAGGTGAAGAGATTACAATGGCTTGTTCAGCCACAAATGCATGTTTGCATTAAAATAGAAACTAGAATAAAATCGTTGACTTCAAGTCACATATTTTCAAAAGCACATGCCATAGTATTGTAATTACAAAGTTGTACAAAACCCTAACTTAACTTAAAAAATAAAGATCAAGAATTGATACATTTAATCAAAAGCACTATGGCTAGTAACTAGAAGCATATTCATGCAGTAAAAGATGTAGTCAGTATTACCTGCATACCCTTCAAGAGTACAGTATTACAGCTACAACACATTATCACTTCTGTTCACCATCTTCTACTACACTAACAGCAGGTAGTTCTAGGGGCATCAGGAGATTTGCAAAGCATTAAGATTTTCTATCTTTCCACACTTTCTACTACACTTGTTACCAAAACAGTTTAGCAGAATGGGGTATATGGAAAGCTGTTGGCAAGTCATTCCTGTTTCCAGAGCAGAGCAACAATTCTGTCCATTTTAAACTACAAGAGACCATTTGAAGAGTTTGAAAAATACTTAAGTTGATTTGCTTTTACAGGAGAAATACTTTTTCCAAAGCTTTCACGTTAGTATTAATTGTGGACAAAAACCATTCTGAGTTCTTCAAAAGTACAGAGTAGATAATACCTGTACAAAATCCAGTCATTATATGCTGGTTTCTCTACTTAGAATCATAGAATAGTTTGGGTTGGAAAGGAACTTTAAAGGTCATCTAGTCCAACCCTCCTGCAATGAGCAGGGACATCTTCTACCTGTTTAGAATGGGATAGAACATTCACCACAGAAAAAAGTGAAATACATAATTTGGGTCCAGCCACCTAATGATTAGGTGTGCTGTACTCACACCACACTACTCATGTATTTGAAGAATGGAAAAATACTAGATAGCTGTTACTCCAAAACAAGTGCAGCAACAAAATTTCAAGTCTGATTTAGAATTACTTTAAATGTGAACTTCTTTAACTCTTCCATTCCACCAAAATAGACAGCAATACTCTAGGAAACTGGATTTTAGTGAAGAACTCTTCCAAAGTATCAAGGAATTTCAAGCCTACAACAAATATTCTTCAAAATTATTTAGATATTCTGTAAAGGACTACTTACCATCTGTATTTCAACCTAAAGTGAGTGTCCAGGAACGTATGCCTGCCAGGGTTCCAGGTACAAGTCATAGGATATCTGAGTTTTGACTTCTGATGCACAATGCAACTTAAGTTCTTGGGCTTCTCTGGGGGCACTGTACAGAAAAAGTTAGCAATAATTAATCTATATACACATTTCAATCCAGTAAGAATCATGCTAAGTGTCCCATCAGAGCAATTTCAGTGAACATCAGAAGTATTTACAGTCAGATTTATTTCTAAAGGAGGGGGCAAAAAGTGCTGGATGCCATCCAGCAATGAAAGTTAAGACGCTTAACAAGCTGCTCTAAGAAACAGTAGGCTGCATGAAGAACAAGCACTTGACAGTAAGGAACAGCACAGAATATTTCTCATTCTTTGAGGCAGAAAACCTGATATCAACAATCTCTCATCTAAATCTATTTTAATTCACACAGAAAAAAAATGTTAATGAGCACGAAGGTGGATTGGCATATGCTGACTTTGCCAATAACCTGAGCTCTAAGGCAACTGTGATAGGTCTATTCTCCCCCACCTGAGCTAGAAAAGAAGGATAATTTAACTGCAAACACCTACAAGAAAGAGAAAGGATCTTCATTAATGCACATTAGTAGTGTCTAAGAAACTTCTTCAGAGTGCAGCTAAACTATTTTCGTCCTTAAAGTGACCGCATACAAAGAGTTTGTTTCTAGCTTTTAAAATGCCACTATTTAAAAGAGTATAATGCACTTGAAGTATCTTATTTCCTTTCAAGCAGAATGTTGTTTTCAACAGAACTTTGCTATGAACCTTACAGTTTTGTTCTTGAATAGCTGCATTCTTCTTAAACCTGTTGCTACTCTCACTGTTCACAGAATTTTCCTTTAATTGACAGTATGAAAATACAGTATCTTTAAACACAAATGCATCTCAAGATCCATATGTGAATTACAGCTGTAGAATGTTATCTGTACTGTCATTCAGTTTATCATCTTAGGATACTGTATCTGTCCTCACCTTTCCATATATTTTGCCTGTCTTTTCTGGTAAAAAATTTACTCTTCAGAATTTGAAATAGGAAAGATTCTTCTTCTGTCAACACACGTTGGAACTCATGCTAGAACCACATTAGTTTAAATGGTGAACTCAAGTCAGCCTTCTGTACACAGACCTTGCAGCAACTGCAATGCCTTTTGCCAACACTAGGAGGCAACATAATTCATCAGCCATTGGAAGACTTATTTTATGAACAGTCCACCAACTAATTAAGAAGCAGTATATTAAGTTATTCATATTACTTTCTCAAAACCTCAGTCTTGTCTCAAAGTGCACTTGTTCAAAATTATGCAAGTGCTATCATGCTTGAACAAAGGAAGTTTATAATCAGTTAAAAGTATTTTCTTATCTATAGTGGCAGAGTAATTCAAATAGTATGTTCTATCCTTAAGGCAGTTCAGGTTAGCTTTAGTGATACAGATGAACTAAATGTTTCTCAGTCCATTAATGAAGAAAACATCAATTTCATGGTGTTATTATGAAAGCAGGACATATGACCTTGTGGTATTTCCTTGAACACTGAACAGAAGCAAGAAGTAAGGAAAAGTTAGTCTATTTCCTAGATCTATTTCAGTTGAATTCACATTTTCTTTTTGTAATTTAAATCTTCCTGCTTCAACATTTTTCTATTGCTTTCTGTTTCCTTCCCATTTCAACAATGAAATACTCCAGAGTATTTTCTATTTTTTGGAAAACTTTATTCTGTGCGTATTTACCAGCTTTGACAGCATGTAATCTGACAATATTTTTATACAGTTATCCAGGAACTGAGGGAATGGAAATGAGCATCTCAAGATATGAACACTTTCCATTGTTTGTATTCTCCTCCCTGTTTCTCAGAAGCAATTTTCTTAAGACCAGAATAAAACGCAAGAAAAATGGTACTTACAGCCTATTGTAACTGTAATTCCATAAATGTTCTGCTCAATCTGTCCATCTGCTAAAATGTTGCATGTCAGAGGAGTAGCTAGTGAAGAAGTGTCATTAAATGTGACACTGGAAACGGTTCTGTTTATTTCACGATACTGTTCTTTAGGTACCACTTTATTTTTAATTTTCCAGATGATTTGATTAGCATAGATATTGCCAAAGTCAAGACAACTCTCATTCAAAATGCATAATGCTGTGAAATTGGAACCAAGGGCCAATACAGGAGACTCTGGGATGATGTGACCACATGACTGTACAAGTCCACCTGAAACTAAAAAGAAAAAGAATTGCATCTTTATTAAAAGCTACAGAGCATTCCATAAGCAATATTGCTGATACAACACTAGTGTAATGTTAAAAATACATGTGTCTAAGCAGCAAATGAATTAGTTACTTGACAGTTATAAAACTGAAATGCATTAGTGGACCACGAAGCAGATTTAAGGGGCAAAACCAGTGTAGTGCTCCCCAGGCTTTGCAAAAGCATTTTACCAAGCAAGAAAGCTCTATTAACAACAGGGGCCTTTACAGAGAGAGTACAGTCAAGGATTGAATGTTTAGTATGTTTCGAAGGAAGAAGGTAATATAGTTGAGGTTAAAAACATATTTTCTATAGAGAAAGTTAACAAAAAATTGGGATAAGTGTGCACTTTTGTTGTGGTGGACTAGTTTTAGAAGAATTGCATGCAAACAGTTGAATACTTGAGTTATCCATTTCAAAAGCTTCAGTGTGTATACTACAAACATATTTAGGAATTATAGTGAACTCTGCACCTTTGACAGGTTTTGGTTTTTTTTTTTTTTTACATAAAGTAACTTGAACACAACAATAAAACTGTGACTATCACTATAGAGCGACATAAAGAGAAAAGCGTCAAGTGTTAATTAAAGAAGAAATAGGTGACTGAAATACTGCCTTCAATCAACATCCATACATAAACATCTTGAGGATAATCATTTGCTACACAACAGCAGTGGCCCACAGCTGTAACTTGATCACAGAGCCCACTACACTAGTTCACTGGTAGCTTATTGCTTTAACAGCATTTAGACTAAGACATGCTTTCATTTAGATACTATTTGGCATATGTGAAATTAAACTGCAGTTTGCTACAGTGACCAGCTCCAGTAATGTTAGTGGAAGCAAAGCAAACTTCCACTGACCAGTCACTCTTCACCATCTCTGTACACACATGAGTGATGAATAGAAGCAGAAGTGAGTATTGGTTTAACATACATTATTTTACCATAATATTAAGAGCATAGAGTAGGTCTCTCTATCCTAATATACCTTGCTTTCTGCCCCCACCCTGTAAGTATCTAGACAAAAAGCAAGCATGTAGTTCAAGCATCTGATTAAAATAGTTGTACAAGTCTCTTCTGTTTGAGACACAGAAGTCTTACCTTCAAGAGAACAAATATTCAAGAGCAGATACAAGCAATGGGCCACCCAGTTCCACCCAGAAAACATGCTGCACAGAATTCCTGTAACAGAGGCAGATTATTTTTTAGATTTAAACTATTACTCTTCACTTTAGATCACTGTCAAATTCAGATTTGCATTCGATCTATGACAATTTCTCAGGTATGCACATTTACTTTCCTGAAACAGTATCTTCTCCCTCTAGAGAAAGAACTGGCATATTGTTTCCATTTTACTCACTACTATAACAAAATCCAGTATCTACATGAGACAACTGATGCAGTTTAAAGCCTCTTTAGTTACAAATTTGAGAAATGCAACAGCTTAAGGTTTTCATGTCATATATGGAAAGAAATTTCACTGGTACTTCTGTGGGAGGTTCAGTTAGAACAGAGAGCATAGCATGGTGGTTCAGGTTTTAAAACAGAACCCTATGAATTTGATTATGGTTACCATACTTACCTAGCTTTCAAGGGCACTGATATAAGTGCTTTGCACAAGGTTCAGAACAACTCACCACAAAAACATGTGTCTCAATCACAAGAGTGACTTAGAATACATTTAAGAATTACGAAGCACACCACTTCCATATCAAGAACTGTTGGACTACTACAGAAAAAGCATTAACTAATTCTTCAAAACCTTACAAGGGAATTTGTAATTCCTCAAAAGTTGGAGAGTTTTTTTTTAACATCTTATGTTCTTTATTTCTGTATTGCAGCAGAGCTCACTTGTTCTCCGTTTTGACAATTCTGCAAAACAGTTTAGAGAAAGTGAAGCATTCACAGAGTAGCTTCCACTCCAGTTGTTTTGAAGTTGCAGTCTCTTCTGAACTTCTCAACCTGCAGTTATAAAGCAGCCCTAAATTACCAAAAGCAAGTGACCATTCCATACTAAGCATATGAACATATTGTTCTTACAGCTAGAAACTAAACATAGAGTTTCTAGGTTTACTAAGATTTGAGATGAGATTGCCTGTAACAATCCTGCTTCTTAAGTTTATTTTCACTGACCTGGCAAAACTTCTTTGGAAACTGGTATTCTGAGCTTTACCCCTATAAAAGGCAACTCACTAAGAAGTTTAATGGAATTCCACAGTATTCCATAAAAAGGAAAATTTAAAAGCTACATTTACTATTATCAAAAGGGAAAAGAAACTGCAATTTATGACCAGAAATACTCCTTTGCTTTGACTGCATGTAGTTTACTTTATAAAAATGACAGAAAGACACAAGGCATTTCATACAGATCAATAAAACTAGACAACACATTTAAGCACCAATGTATCAATACCAAGCTACAACCTCAGCTCCCCCCCCCTTTTTTTTTTTAAACAAATCAAGGTAAGCAGTACAATGTAAAGAAAATATGTATTCACAAGAATTAGAAACCAACAACTAAATGAAAGCCAATCTCAAACCTTTACAGCAGAGTCTCTGTAAGGCTCACCAATGTAGATGTGTTTCAGTTCGGACTAAAATAATAGCCATCAGAATCACTCAGCAGTATCTTTACTTGCATCTATACTTGTGAGTTCATTACTCAAAGCCCACCAAAATTTGCTATATAGAAATTCTGTACTAGAAATACTGCTGATTAGGAGACTTGACAGTTATATTAACAGGCATTTATATTTGTCACTAGAGGCTGTTTTTTTTTAATTAAATAATGAGAGTTATTTATAATCAGACTGTAGTTGTATAGAGTTGAGAATCAAAAAGCTATTCTTTTTTTTATGTTACACTCAAGTACTCTCACTGGGCTAGATATGAAAACCATTATAGAGTTTTAAGTGCAATACATGTTTAGATATTATTACAAGCATACAGTAACTAAACCAATTGATTTTTGCTTATTATGGACATAAAGTCTTCCAATATCTGAAAAATAAGGTTTCTACCCAACCCTGCCTTTCTGCATTTAAAAAAACCCAACTGGTTTCACAAATTTTAATAAATTCACACGGTGAATGCAACCAAACTCAGAAGAGTATTCTCTTTTGATTTAGGTCTTTAGACACTGAATAAAACCAGCATATAGGAATCTATTGTAGTGTCTTGACTTACTAACATTTACCAGAAATACTGCTTGCTACCTAAAGCTTGTTGTGCTATATTAAGGATAGACCTTAAGATGCATTATTTTAAACAAGATTCATTTAAAGCTATTTAAGTTGAACAACTTGCATTGCAGAAGATCTGAAACTCATGAGAACCCTGAGGGCAACTAACAAGCTAGGTGGAAAGAAGCAGCAGCTCTACTTCCCTGCTCATTGCCAAAAGCTGCAGAACAGCAGCAGAAACAGCTTCCACACTGAAGAGGAAAGTGTGAAGCAGATGTAAAAAGGCAAAAAGTAAAGTTTTTAAAAAGAATGTTCAATATAGCATTTCTCTCCCATTTTGTATCACAATTGGTACGACATTAGTATAATGGCAATGTCAGCTAAGATAAGTATTACATCATTACAAAGTTATTGGTTTTCTTTTTGGTAATGATTTATTTCAGGTTAAACAATATTTCCACAAAACTATTCAAGAACTGCTGGTATTAAAGTCATCAAGTATGGCTAAGGTTAATAAAAAAATACTATGAAGCACCCGAAGGAACATAAAAGCCAACACTTAAAAAGCAATAATGAACTCAACAGAAGGAAACAATAATACAGAATTATCACATATTTTGCTGGTAAGAAATCAAAATAAGATGACTTCACCCTTTTAAATAAATGCCATTTCTGTATTCAACTGTCCTCCAGACCTGGAATACAACATTTCAGTTGTCCTGAGCAGATTCATTTACACATGGGAAACTGAGGTCCAAATCTCTACTACTTTGCACTTCGGAAAGTTTAATAGCTGTTTTGAGGGAGCAAAGAAACCCTCCACAGTTTATAGTACTTACTCCACCACACTCAGCTCCTGAAAGGCAAGAGAACTGAGACTCATGCTCCATCATCTGCAACGGAAAGTTAAGTGGGAAAGCCCACTCACCTACTGTATGGGAAACAAGCAGTTGTGACTGTAGTGTCAAAATCATGCTACAGTTCAGCATATATCTGCTTTTAGGCTGTTCTGATGTATTTTACTTTTCCCCCCTGCTGATCAATGCAGTTTGAAGAAGATTGAAGCTACACACCTCTGAACTCACAAAGGGGCTATTGCAATCCCTTCTAATGCGTGCTATTTTTTAACACATTAGTCTCTCTACCTTTCACAAGGCTGATTCTTAATCAAAATTTAGTTCTAGGGAAAAGAATCAGAGTTACACTAGGCACTTCCATCCATCTTGGCTAGATAAAAGCCATAAAAAAAGAAAAAATATGGTGGGGCCTATAACTAACACAACAGGGAGCCATACTTCAGATCAGAGCAAGGAAGATACTTTAATGGAAACTAGCATTTTCTAATCTGAGCATATAAACATGCTGAGGTGCAGACAGTGCAGAAACCCTGCACATTAGCTATACCAAAACTTTAAAACATAGTGCTATCATTCAAAAGAAATGCTGCTAAACACCAATTGTTCACCATCAACAACTTGAAGTCAGACTAAGTTGCAAGTCTGGACAACAGAAAATTCAATAGTTTCTGTGATTATGCAACACAGCCCAAAATCTTCTGTTTTACAGACTGGTGTAGTGTATTAGGAATCTAAGGTGAAAGTTCAACCTGATGCTGAACTAACATTGAAGCACCTAGTCAGTTCAGAAGCTTTTTTTTTTCCTAAAAAAAAGCCAAATCAACATTTTGTCTATACTATGTAGTTGTTGTGGACCACTAAGTGAAGAGGAAAGGGAGACAGAGAAAAAACCTGATGTTAGAAGTTTGTCAGGTTACCTCAATAGTTAAGTCTGCCAAAGTGCAAAGGATCAAAGTCCATCTAAATACTACACAGTAAAAACAACATGGTCAATTTAGAACTGCTGCTGTTGACAGTCCTTAACTTGGAGAACATAAGTTACCTTAAAGAGGAAAAAAACTGTTAAAATGCTACGATTACTTCAGTAAAGACAGACATATGAAACTTGTATGTCATAAGATCACCCCATTTAATCTCTAAATCATATAGGACTTCTATTATTCTTCACATCCTGCTGCCATTTTGAAAGAAAAGCACTAAGCCTTTATGCCTGAACCTTCAACTGATGCTTCAGGCAGTGTCCTATGAAAAACTAATAACGACCCTATAGTCGAGCTTTATATGTACAAAGTAGCAACAGCATTGAGTTTTATGACTAATGTGTAAATAACAGTTTTTGAAGAAATGTCAGGCATTCATGCAAAATGGCAATCACTACTTATTCTGAGCAACAGAGAGAAGTCTTACAAATTAATCTTATTTCATAAACCATGAGAACTACCCCAAAATGAATACAGGTATATGTCGTATGATGAATTATCACCTCTCCATTTCAGGTCCAAGTAAACTGAAGTTGTCATTTGTAGGTCAAGACACTATAGCCAAAATAACATGTTCTTGCCAGCAAAGCCAGCTTGCAAGTCAAGAAGTATAGGTAACATCACGACCACCACAGGAAGGTGTTAGGTCTATTAAGGCTCATCATCACATCAATTATGAAACCCCAAAGGTTGCTGGCAAATTGTTTTCCAGAAATTCCTCAAAAAAATAAGAGCTAAACTTACAGCTTCAAATGGTAATCTCTTACTAATAATCCACATAGCTCAGGAAGACAGAGCAAGTGATACTGCACATAGCAGCTACTGCTTGAGATTTTATAACAAGCCAGGTAGTACTTAAAGCCCATCTAAAAGCTGTAACTATCCTCAAGGAATTTTGATTACTCACACTGTAAGTGCTTTCTAATTAAGACTATTTAATCTGCAAGCTTCCTTCCTTCTTGGAAACATCTGAGACTCAAAAACCCCCCAAACACCTCTAAGAAAATAACTTTTCAAATCTTATATAACATTATATGCACAGAATATTCTGAAAATTTTTCATATTTAAAATACTTATACACAAATGATACCTCTACCCCTCTCACCAAATAGGTAAGTAATTTCTCCACATTACTCATTCTTTTGCCTCTAGAAGGAGGCTTCTCCCTGCCTCTGGGGTTTTAGTACAGCACTCGGAATAAAAAACCCAAACAAAGGGCCACAGAGTAAAATGACTGAAATACCTCATTACAGGCACCAAATATTTGCTTGCAAGAATTAAATTCTTCCGTTACCTTCTTAAATTGCCGATCACTTTCTCTGAAATACTTCAGATTTTTTTTGCAGCTAGCAAGTAGCTTTAGTCTAAAAAGCAAGTGAATTTATACAAAATAATATCTTAGCATTCCATGTTCTCATCTTGAAGTCAAACCTTCAAGACTGACAACCACCAATGCTGGTTCTCCAATTTAGACAGTTCTTGCTAATCTAAGAATCATTCTAAAAAAAATGGCCAAGAGGTTTATTTATTTTCATACAACTGTGCTAGTGCTAATCCTCCAGAGAAGCAGCATGGGAGACTGTGTGTCTCCATTTTGTGTACAGACTTACGAATGTGCATGTATCTTACCCCCACCCCCCAAAAATGCATATATAGGCTTTACTTGAAGAGATCACATTTCTAGACATGTAAACAAGAACCGAGTATTTATTTTTAATGCTTAACATCTAGGAAGTAATCTCAAATTTTCATCACCCTCTTCTACTTTCCTACTGTGATACATCAACATATAGATTAAAGTTTAAGTTCAGAAGTTACATGCTTTCAACAGATACCTTTTACATACTGTTATTCCTGTGAAAGTATTTAGGAAGAGAAGTATAAATTTTAAGTTCTATAAGGGAAAAGAGGGTGTAAAAAAAAGCCCGTAACTCCCCAAAGTATCCAACCTCTTCAGGTTGTGGACCCTTTTTTTCTCCTCTTCTCAGTGACAGGACAGGTCACCAGTGACAAAACTATAACCCCAGATGATTCTATTACCAGCTTTCTCTTTCAGAAATACCTCAGAAGTAACAAGCAGCCACCAGCTGGCCATCACCTAATCAGCCTAAAACAGGGATGAAAACTGAGACTGGGATTTATTCTCCTCTGCACTGCCAACACACTTGGCAGACCGCTTTCCTTTGTGCCTCAGTTTCATCATCTGCAAGATGAAAATAATGACACCGTTTTTCTCTAGGAAGAGTGTCAGAGACCCACTGCAAGGAGGACTGGAGCTCAGGAGCACATCGGAAGTTAGCAGACAACCCGGGCTGCTTACTGAACCCACTCCTCCCTAACTCCTCGTGGAATCCCTCCGGTAGTTGGATCAGGTGTAAAACAAGTGTGCCTTTGTTTCAAGGCCAGCAGTCTTCTACCTTCTTGGTGTAGAGCCAACAAGAACAGACCACTTGTGGTGAAGGCAACAAAACAGAACGCTTTCCAACAAGAAAACGCCTGCCGACAGTACGGCCAAGCTTATCGGAGAGTTGAAAAAGCCCGAAAGACACAAGTCTAGTGAGGGTCTCGGCACCTTTATTAATTAAGACTACCAGCTTTAACAGCCGCCGCACTAGAGAAAAACCCGGATAGTCTTCAGTCTTACCCTCCGCGCCACGACAGCAGGTCAGTAAAACCGCGTCAAGACAGGGGAAGCGTTGCGGAGGGGGCACCCCCAGCAGCTGGTACTACGCACGCCGGCAAGAAAAGGGCCTCGACGGCCTCTCAGGCCCCTACACCGAGGAGGCCGCGGGCGGCCCGGCAGCGGGCGAGGCCATATTGCATTTTAAGCGACACCGCCGGGCCAGCTCCGTCAGCGCCCGCCGAGGGGAGGCGAGACGCCGCTGCGGGGAGCGGGCGGCGGCACCCG